CGCGCGGGTCGGATCCTTCCGACCCGTGCAAGCGCGGGTCAGACCGCGCCGACCTGCGCCCCCGCGCTGTTTCGACCCCCAGACTCGTTTTTACGGTTTCAAAGCGGCTTTTCGCAGGACTTATCTATTCCAGGGGTTCCCAACTGACTTAATATCATCTACAAACATGGTTAGGCCGTTATTAACTGAAGATAAGATCAAATCACTCATTCTTATCCGAAAACCCCCAACCGAAGCCTATAAATACAGGCCTAGGGGCTCATTTCATAGGGGCGGACATCAAGAGGGCGAAACGCTGCCGAATTGGAGAGTGGAGCCACGAATTTACAGCAAGGGTTAGTAGATCTTGGCAAATTCTTGTGCATAAAGAGTGGAGTTCGAGAGATCTGAGACTCGTCCCCTATTCCTCCGGATTTAAGCTTTAAAGAGTGGAGTTCGAGAGATCTGAGACTCGTCCCCTATTCCTCCGGATTTAAGCTTGGTCTTAAATCTCGAGAAGAGCCGTGCGAGAGATCTGAGACTCGTCCCCTATTCCTCCGGATTTAAGCTTGGTCTTAAATCTCGAGAAGAGCCGTGATCTCGTTTGGTCGGGATCATCGCTGCAGCGATTACTTCCTTCATGAAGTAAGAGCTTTGATCAACTTAATCTGTCAACCGCATCTGATCTGCGGCGGTCTACGGATATTAACGTCCCCGGCACAGGCAAAGATCACATGTAAGCAGCAGGTGATAAACGTCCGTTGCGCTGTTTGACAAGAGTTGTAATCTTTAGTTTCATTGTATAAAGATCTTATAAAAGATCGATATTTTCTCGTTTATTTGAGTTTATTGTAACGACCAAAGTTGTAATAGATTCGATGACAATGAAAACATCGACTTTTGACCCAAATAGTTGGCAGTCCAGTCTATTTTGTTGCCTGACATAAAGTATCTTTTATTTTAACAGTTCAAGTTTAGATTATTTCCCAATCCAGCCTTGTATGAAGCAGAAAGAGAACTGAGGTTTATGCTTTGTAAGTTATGTGAATCCTTTAGGGGATAAAAAGACCACCTTGCACATTTTGGATACTCGTAAACAGGATTGCAAGGTTCTGATCATCTTTTATGACAAAGATGAACTTGCCTAAATATTATTGAGGGGAGGAGGATTTTTAGACAAGGCACCTGAGTCTCAATTGCATTTGTACATTGCAACTATTCTTGTATTACATAACGCAAGAAGATCTGGAAACTGGGGGATGTATATTAGGGTTTTTCTTGTTCGATATGTCTTGCGATTTAACTTTGCCTAGAATCTTTTCAGTTCTAGTGGTTCACAAATCTTTTCATATGATTGGTTCTTTCTTTTGATTACTTGATTTGTGCCTGGACTTCCAGTTTCACACCTTTTCTATTATCACATTATATTTTTCTTCAAGTGAGTTTTCCTTGCATTAATATCAAAATCTTCCTATTGCAGCCACCTGTGTTCCAAGTAAAGTCAGCTCTAACCTTCATCCGACTTCAAGTACATGAACAAAGACAGTGTGGACTTGCTGTAGTTTCTTAGTAAAGTTGTTGACAAATTCAAACAGATCTTTTATGTTTATACGAATTAAACTTGCATCAATAAAGTCACTTATACAAAACATT